TTGTGAGAAATAAGGCTGGTAAGTGCCTGCCATTCAAGCTTTTCTGCTTGACATTCACGGAAAACGAAGGAGGTGAAGGACGTCGAACTACCCTCGACGCGATTTTGCGAACATTGTTCTCCCCCGTCCCAGAGATATTCCGCGTAGAATCCTCAGTTATCTTCAAAAATAGTTGTCCGGGTTGGGGTGAGAAACGGGTCAGTCGCGTTCGTTCCTTTGCCTTGGTGCGGTTGTGAAAAAAGGAAGCTCTCCCCAAAACGTGCCCCAAAACGAAGTCATCTCGGATTCCGTCCGATCGTCAAGATGTGACTGTCGTCGACTGTGATTGTGTTATTTGAGATCTTTCTCAAATAAATTATTTTCGGATAACACTGCATCGTGTGGTACGTACGATTTATTGTTCGAATGTTAACACTTCCTCAATTGTATGTCCGTGTCCTGTCGATCGGTAAACACGTTATTTGTGAGCGTGAAAAATGCATGCCTTTCGGCCCTCTTCTGTTGTAATTTATTTTTGACAGCAAAGCGCTTTGTTGTTTCACATGCGGCGAATCCCGCAGCGCCGTCAAAACTTATCGTAAGAAAAAAACAAATAATTAGAACTGTACATTCCAGTCGCATTCGTTCTGTCGCACGCGTACCCAACAGAAATAGTTTACAGTTTTTTGTTGCTTTTATGTTTTTTTAAAATGTGGCACAATGTTTTTTGTCAATGTCCTTGAGAAAATACATGCACCATGAAACACAAAATATAGCGGGAAAAGACGAGAATTTAGCCGCCAGCAGCGTTTGAAACTGCGCCTACGCAGGCCGCGCCTATTGAAATCACAGTCCACTCGGTTAGGGTTAGGAGGGACGCCGGTAAGAGTTTAGCCTCAAACTCAGTGACTGGGCTCGAAAACGGTTTGTTGCCCCTGGGGTCGAGTGTTTTTTGGAAAGGTGTATACGCCGTAAACCAGAGTTGGGCAGTATCGCGATACAAATGTATCGCGATACATTTTTTTACCAGTATCTGTATACCTGTATCGAAATACATATGGAATGTTTATTTGTATCGCGATACAATCAGGATGAAATGTATTTCGTTACATTTCTTGATGAATACGCCCCCCCCCCCCTCTCCGAAAAAACAAACAAACAAACAAAAAACAAATACCCAACCGCATTTTTTTTTTTTTTTTACTTCTGAGGGCACCAGGGTCAATGAGATGCTGGGGCATTGTTACTATACCTGACAAAGGTCCCTTCTGAATCTCCAAACTATTTTTCTGTGCGTCCTCTTCTCTCTTCTAAGAAGTGTTGCGTAGTCGGGGACTCGAACCAGGTGGCGTGCCAGGGGTGGAGTCAGGGCATCCTCTGCCGCAGGTCCTTAGGTAGGGATTTCTTGAGTCGTTGTTTGCTGGCATTTAATGCCCACTGCTAACCGTCTATCTTGCCTTAGCATACACAGTACGCCAGCCGGCAATGCTGAGTCACAGTCCGTTGCAGCCCGAGCCTGGTGGTGGTTGACTTGAAACAGTATAGGATGACTCACGCAGTGAAGTTCAGCACATATTCGAATGCGTCTGCTGCTGCGCCCGTAATATTGCACGGCTCATGGGTACGTGATTAGCCGACGTGAACGTGACCCGCTGCTCTGGTGATCCGAAACCCAGGAAGGAGGCTAGACGTGGCCTCGCTGTGCCGGCCCAGAGTTCGTACACCTGCGACTCGTCTCGAGCGCGCTGTTTCTCGCGGAGCTCGCACCTGTGCCGGCAATAGAGAGTTTTAGCAGATCGTTTTTTCGCCCCGATAACGACATTGCCTTTCCCCTCTGGCGGCCTTGGGCATGCATCGTATCGTTATCGGGGCGAAAAAAAGATCTGCTAAAACTATCTAATATCAGGTCGCAATCCACGATGTCACTGTTTAGATGATGATAGGCGAAACTTGAGGACTGCAATTCATGCGTCGCTGGTGGAGGGTCGGGAAGAAGGACCTTTGCAACGAGGATGCCGCCGTATCGTTTTCTTTTTCAACTGTAAAACAGAAGATAAGACATGTGTTCCAGGATGCTTCTGGTGGTCCACTATTCTCAAAAATTCCAAATGACACTGCCTGCACGATCTTTAACGAGGTAACCTGCAACAAAAATACGTACTGTCCTTTCGTACAGCAGCGTGGTAAAGTTCCATGTTCAAGGCCGCACCTACACATAAAGAATACCAGTTCATTCCACCGTGACGTCATGTGATCATTGATGACAGGGCCGTCCTTATTGAACAGGAGCGTGGTGACGTTTTGATGGGTACGTTTAGGGTGACACAGAATTTATTTAGAGCTCGAAGTCTTTTCGTATCCCTCGTCAGACAGACAAGATGTCAGGGAAGGGACCGTGGTCAGTCCTTGAGGAACCGTTTTTTTTAGCTCATTGAAGACTCCTCGTCGTCCGAAACCACTACCTTCAGGGCAAAGTGCCAAGCCTACGGGAAAATAATCTGGGGATCAAAAACTTCCACTTCGAACTTCAAACTTTATCTCAGTTGGCGTCTCAAACAAATTTGAAAAAATGTATTGCAGTATCTGTATTTCTGTATTTGTATTTCTGCCCTCCCTAAAATTTATTCCTGTATTTGCATTTCCAGATACTTTTTGCCTCTATTTAAAATGTATTTCCGATACGTATCGCGATACAATTTTACAGATATATTTTAGTATCAGTATTTTAGCTACTATTTCAATGTGTCCCAGTATTTGTATTTCCAAATACACTTTTGAGTATTCCTGCCCAACCCTGTCAATGAACTAAAGAACTAAAGAGTGCTAAATGAACTAAAGAGTGCTAAGCGCACTTGACGTTTGATAAATGCCGTAAGCTTTGTTATATGTTTCCTTTCTTCTTTACTGAGTATGCCGAGATAATTTCAGAATCACCATTCAGACACAGATCTTGGGCGTCGGTAAAGGCTAATCCAAAAAGGCTTCGCGAGGAGCTCGCCGATTTCGGCGTTTGGAGATCATGAAAACGTAATCTCCAATCGGCATAAAATTTTGGTGGGAGATTTGCGATGACACGAGGAGGACTTCATAGTAACTTTTGTGCAGTACTGAGTGCGAATTTATTGCGTTTTCATGAGCCAACGTTAGGCTCAACTGTGAGTAACCTGTGAGGATGCAGCTTGTTTTTGCTCAATGAAGTAACACGAAGCGGACGTTTGGCAAGCAAAGTACGTGTAGGGCTCAAAGTGACAAAAATTTTATTGTGGTTCACTGGTACTAGACATGATTATTGATAGTGAGCTCAAAGATACAATCGTGGGGCGTGGGCGCAGGCTAGGGTGACCACCTTCCTGCTAGCAAAATGCGGGACACGAGGGGTGGGGGTGGGTAGAGGAAATTTATTAACACACACAGCACAAACCGAGGCTTTTTTAATACATTTAACATCATGTGCTGTTTATACACCTGCTAATTGTATTGCAGCAATTAAGCTCAATTAATTTTTACTAAAAGTAATATATATCTTATGTCAAATGTGTTAGTAAATGTTTCGAAGTTAAAAACATAAAAATCGACTGTAGCAGAACTCAATGCATCAGATAAAAATAAGAAACATTAAATCTCTTTCGGGTTATTGTTTCCTGTCAACGCTTAATTTTATCAACATAGTCATACAGAAAGTTTTAACATTATGTTCTTTTTCGACCGTTGCGAGTTGCAGGCTTTTTGCCTTGTGTGGCTGTGTTCCCAAAAACAAAGATCCACAGCAACCCTTTTGCATTGACAGAGCGCTTTGAAAATAATTATAATATTTTATATTGAAACTTTTGGCAAGCAATCTTTCTTAGAATATTTTGCCACCAAGGGAAGAGGCACAACGGAGCATGCGCGTCGGTTCTCCTTCAAGAACGACGGTCGCTTCCCGCAATGCTTGGATAGAAAATGGTGTACCATTGCGATTCACACGATTACCAGCGGCCTCCGGGCTTCCCCGTGCCGCATTGTTCGGCAGCGCCATAAGTGGCAGAGTGAATTTTACTACGGTATGAAATGCGGTACATTTTGAAGATTTGGGAATTTCTTGCGGGACGCGGGACACAAGCCCTCAATGCGGGACAGTCCCGCGAGTCGCGGGACGGGTGGTCACTCTAACGCAGGCACAATATGTCGGTAACCAAGAAAAGTGTCCCGCTCTTCCTTCTATATCGCTCGAGAATGCTAAGAATATTGTGCATTCGTGATAAGTCGGACAATCGAAAACGCAAGCAGCGCATTCGGTCACGGCGTGATAGCACAAATTGAAGCTCCTCAATCGAAACCGAAACTGAGTAGCCAACTAGCTCCCAGAGTGCACTGCGTAGCATTTCGCCGCGATGGGGCGCTTCAAGTTTTGGAAGAAGTCTATTGACGGCACGCCCTCCCCGCCAGCAAAATAGCTGTTTTGGTAACGAAGCGAGACTGTCCATGTCGGCCCGGCCATTGGTCATGCCCTACGGTTTGAACAGCGCATTACGGCAAAACCGCCGCAGAGAAGACTAGAACATGCGCTGTTCGTACCAAACTCCCTAGATGTTTTGGCCCAGCTACAGTAATTAAAATATTTTCATCCTTTCCGGTTTCGGTTTCTGTTTGAGCGGGGGTGCTGCACTGGTACGAGTAAATGGTACTTACTCTGACTGTGCTTCAGAGACCAGCTCGACTACAGTGTAGTACAGTACGTGTCTGTAGTACAGCACACTTCTCCTGCTGTAACGGACGGAGGTGCGCTCAGTGGCAATCTCAAGTCCACATAAATATGAGTGGAAGTGTCGGCATTCACCGCTAGGTGTGGCAAAACACCGCCCAATAAAATATTACGTTATCAATCCACGCCAAGCACGCATCGAGCCAATATCGAGCCAATAGAAAATCCACGTGGTCGTCAGCAGAACAAGACGCGAGCCCGCGGGTCGCAGGTCGTCACGGGCCGCATGGACTTGTTTGAAGCGGCGGCGGTAATTCCGTGCGTGTTCCTTTGTGTTGTGCACTGCTTTGGTGGCTCACTTGTGAATGTTCTGCAGCCTGCAGCAGTCGTCAGAAACGGTGACGGTTGCCGCGCTGTTGATGGTATGTCTTGGCTCGCGGCCTTCTTTGTTTTTCGTTGTGGGAAATTGTCTCGGACACTTTCGACTGGGGTTTGACCACCTACGTTTTGCATTCCGTGTGCACTGCCCTGTATTTAGAGCGGGAGCTCTTATTCTCTGTTCGGCGTCATGTGGGTGAGAATAAGATTTCGTGGAGACAAAAGAACCTTGTCCGATCGGGAGTTGAAAAGCGTCCTCTCCTGCCTGTGGCCAGAGCTAATCTCGGAAGATTTTCCGTCCCAACAACCAACATACTAGGGTCGTCCTCGTGTGCACTAAGCCCCTGAACTTGTAGCGCTCTCTTTCAGTTGTGCACCACGTTGGATAGACGAGAGCAACCCATTTGATTGTGTTTCTAATGTTTCTGCAAAGACTTTCTTGCTGACAAGTTTATTTCACTTAAATAGCTGCTACAGGCACCCACATTGTAATTTCTTGTTCTGACAAAATTAGGCTTACGTGGACGTCGGCTCATAGAGAAATTTTGTTTTTCTTAATTGACCTTTTTCAGAGATTGCTGGGCGCATGCGCCAACTCCGAGAGAGAGGAGGAAAGGGAAAGGCGCCATTTTCGGTGGCGCCTTTGAGTCGTTCAGGCAGTCCTGGTTCCGCTTCACTTTCTACGCTATTCTCGCGGCTTGGCTTCATAGTCGTCATGCCTCACCACTGCACAGCTGTTCAGTGGCACAAATAGCAGCAACAGTGGTTGAAATGTAACATTTTATGGAGGTCCAGCAGCCTTTTGCGGGTGGTGCACGAAAGCACCCGACGTCAAACACCGTGCCCTTTCTGTCTCTTTGTCTTCCAAAAGACAAAGCCTTTCGAAAGCCTTTTTTTAAGAAGCCTATGACGCGAATCCTCCGTGTCAGGTGGCCAGGTCCTCAACGTGACGGCGGGACATTCTGCTTTTAGTTAAAATACAGTAAGTGTTCACGATAGGTTGTACAACGTAATTATAACGTACCCGATACTCGAGTGAATAAATGAATAAAGCTTTCCGTTCTTTCAAGCATGCGCTATACACATTCGCATCATGCCAAGTTAAAATTTAAAAAAAAAAAAAAAAAAAGAAAGAAATCGGTTATTGGCGAAACATTTAAAGCGTGCGAAATGGATTCAAGCCCCAAGGAGACTGAACCATGACGGAACGCCTTGGAAACCAACAGTGAGCTCCGCTGTTTGCAGGGCCCACTTTGTTGGAGGTTCGTAAACATGCTGAATTCAAAGCGAGATTGTTTTTACCATACTGTTCCTTACATTTTGACGGTACAGGTGAGCATTCGTGATATGAAGACCGCCTGGATTTCACACTGTGCGAGTTTATTTACACGATCCCGGGTACGGCGATGCCCCGTGCGCTTGCGCGTGCGCTACAAAGGACGGCGAAGTGACGGACGCAGTAAGCTTGCATAACTTAATTAAGCAATCTAGCAGAGCAAAATCAGCTGTTTGTAGTGGCCGGGCCTCATAAACGGAGCTCCCAAGATCCTCACAAGGTGGATAATTGAGTCGGGATCGAAACTCGTCATCATCACTTTCTTTACGAAACACTCTGCTTTGAAGGCCGACCCCTATTTCAGTTGCTTGCACGACGCCACACCAAAGTGACGATTAAGTGACTCGGAGTCGACAGTAGGAACCGATGCGGTGTCGGCGGTCTATCCATCTTTGAAGGTATAAAAAACAAACAAGGTCGTCTCTATTGTAGACAGTAGCTTTCGTTAATCCTCGAGGGTCGTCCTCTGCCATTTCGAAGTAAAGATGCACGCAAAGCGACGACTGGCTTGGCGCTGGCGCGGACCACGGAGCGACGGTACCGGAGCCTTCAATACTGCTTCGAGCGATTCCTGCGAAGGCGTGCCACAATCGTGACCAAACTCAGAAAAAGGTCAATTATCTTTTGATCCAAAAAACGTCATGTCCTCAAACTTCACCATCCTTTCCCAACCACTAGCATCACATTCTCTCGGAGTTTGAGTTTTTTGCGATGCATAGAATTTTTATTCGTGCCGGAAAACATGGTCTTCTTTTCTTGGTAACACATGGTATTTATTTACCCCTAGGATGACCCTTGGTCATGTGCTTCTCACGCAATCTGTTCAAGCTGAGCTTCGGAGATTGTTAGTTCTTGCTTCAGGAATTGTGCCTCAATTTAGCAGGATCTGGACATCTTTCTTTATAAATGAACTTAGACAGTGCTGATTCGCACATGTGCATTCTGAAATGTGCCTAGATGTGGGTCGTGGCCATTTTTGGATCTGCGCAGCTGATGTCACTTTGCCTCCTACATTTCTTGCTCATTTATTTGCAGCTTCAGCTTCATCACAGTTTCATCTGACTCCTTTGAGACCTTCAAGCTTCGCTTCACTGTCCGGACTCCGACGCATGTGCGACACGTCAGTAGTGAGTACGATGCTCCAAGTTTTCAGCCCCGTCTTGGGGTGGCAGACACTATTGGGTTCACGCTGATGTGAGGAGACAAGACATATAAGGGTATAACAAGGTTGCTAACATGAAATTGTTGTTGATGCTGCTTGTTCACCACTCACCCAGTATTTCTGGAAGGAGTTGTTTTGGACGATTGATAGGCCCGTTCGGCTGGGCAAGGGTCCAGCAATCACAGTGATGTGATTGCTGTGCCAATTGCGCCAAACTTCGCCGAGTGGCTAAGCCTGCTACATCCTGCTACATTTTGCCAAAATATGGGTAATCTGCGCCAAGCCTGCGCCAAAAAGCCAATTTTGGTCGCTTTTCAAAATCGAAACTAAACTGAATACCGTAATTGAGCATGCGTGTGTTATGTGGCGCAAGCAGCTGCCCGACAGGAAGTACCCTGCATCAATCGTCCATCCGGTCTTGCATGGTTTTCCCGCCGTCTCGCGTTTCACACTCGTCATCTCGTGGGTCACGTATCGCGTCTTTTTCAAAAATGTTTTCAACCATAGACGCGGGTGTGTGTGGACGCTCCAACGCAAGCATGCCTGTACCAGCCATGCCGTCATGCTGTGAAACGAAACCAGGTTTTTGCGTGGCGGCTGTTATTTTATGAGCTCAGGCACTCGCTCCTGAAAGCAATGGCTGTGGGAAAACTATATTTGTTCCCTGTCTTCCAGTCACCGTAGTCGCGCAACGTCGGGTGTTGCCGTGGCCACGTCGCTGCAGATATGGCGCTTTCTAGAATGAAACTAAGTACCGCCGCACGTTCACCAACATTCCTGTTGTTGTTTAAATCATACATTATTAAAAAAATTCCTCTTTAACTCAAAGACTGCTGTGTCGAAGTATTGATTTCCTAAGTTTCTCTCGGTGGGCTTTCTTTCGAGAAGGACCCCGGTACATGAAAAATTTGCCGCGAAAGAAAGTTGGTGTAGAGAAAGAAGTGAGCTAAAGCAAAGAAGGCAATGTCTGCACGCTGAACCCGCCCAGCGCGCTCGTTTGTCTCGAGTTCAGTCGTTGCACAATGCGCTCCAAGAACTTTTTGACCCTGGCTCGTGATGTCTTGCGTCAGTGCGCTCAGGTTCTTTTTTTTTATGTATGTTTAGCTTTTACTTTGTTTGCCGGCCTGGCAAACAAGCCGCTGGACTGTTTTTGGTTTTTTTTGTCAAATGCTCACAGTTACATTTTGCATCCAATTTTGGGAATCATTTGGCGACGGAGCAGATTGGCATGGTTTCGATTTCAATCAAACGGCCGTTGTCTCCGCTTGCGCAACGAAGCACACGAACTGCAAGCCTGCCGAAGTTGCCCTCATGTGCATGCGAACATGATTGCACGACAGAGGCACCAGCCGAGGCGCGTGCAATCCATTGTTTTACGTTTGCTTACTTTTGACGAAAATCTGGCATGTCGGCGACCAGTAAAACAGTGGCAAGTGGTTTTTCGGAATTGCTCGGCAACGCCTACAGCACTGTACACTTTTGGATGTCTCAGGAGTAAAAACACGAGCAGCGAGTTCCGTCACAACACGTCACATCAGAACTCAACACAAAGTGCCCTTTGTTTGTACAGCATTTAAAACTAATACTTTTATTTTTCTAAAAATACCTGCTCCAAAAGCCACTTTTGCTGCTCCGAAACACTTCTTGGCTGCTCCAAGAGCCAGTTTTGCTGCTCCAAAACACTGTTTTGGCTGCTCCGAAAGGTGCTCCAAAATGGCTTAGGCCGATCACATCACTGGGAACACTGGAGCGATATTAGCGCCGCTGCGCCGCGGCTGAAGGTCGCCCTTATACGGCATTGTCTTGTCTTGTCGTGCTGGCAGTTGCAGTGGCAAGCAGCACATTGCAATGGTATTGCAGCTCCTGTCCTGTTCAAAGATGATTTTTATGTAGGCAAAACTTCACAAAGAAAGGTTGCTTGTGTGCCAGCAATGAGCTAATTTAGGGAGAATATTTGACTGCAAAGTGCATCCAGCGTCGGCTATGACATCCGCTTCAAGATAAATGCTGTTTTTTACTCCGACAGACCTCGGAGGTTCTTCATGTGAACCGCCTGGACATTTACCACCCATCCCTGCCTATAGCTTCTCTCCATCACTAATTTCCCAACTGTAATTTCTTTTTCTCCAACGCCCCGCAGGGGAGGGGGGGATCATTGTGATTGGTTTTTTGTCATTGTCACACATTACCATCATTCTCTCTGATGGCTCGTGTGGCCCGATTAGAAATGATCATCGAGTCTCTCTTCCTCACAATGCCTGGAACCTCCGCACAGGAAAAGAGTTTCACTAATTAAAGGGCACTTCCTCTTCATCTTTCATGTTGGGAAAAGTGCGCAGCCCTCTTCAGTATCATCTAGAAAGACCACATGTCAAATTTTACGATCGAATTTCGTCTATATATTTAATAAACTGGCCACCAAACTTTCAAAAGAGCCAAGTTGCTGAAATCTGCTAGCTCTAACGTGCAACGTGAGGCGCAATCAAAAGTGCAGTCAACACCACGGAGTTGGAGCAGCCAACATTGAGCCACTACGTCAGAGTCATGTCTACGTCATTCTCACATTTTGTTTGCTTTTACTTCTCAGAGTGAAATTGAACAATGGCGTCACGAGTTCCTCCTCCCGGTGTGGGCTCAACGGCGTCCACGTGATGACCGTAACACGGATGTGCGTGCTTGTCGGAGCTGGGAGGAGTCTGTTTTGTCTCGCCGCTGTTGTAGTTTGAGAACAACGTTTTGTTTACGATACAGGCGCAGGCCGCATCTCCGATGCCTAGTGAAGGATTCATAGGCTCACAATGTTGTGTTGCTGCCTGCACGAACCACCGGTTGACCAGCTTGAGAGTTGTCTTTCCCACGTTTCCACACGACAGTGCGCCTGAAGGTATGGACGGACATCCTGTCCGTCCATTCCTGGTGAAACTGCGGGAAGCCGTTGTTGCCAAATCGCAGGACAATGGTCTGTTCTGATTTCTTATGCTCTTGATACTAATAATTTCTGTTACCAACTAAATAGAAAAATGTGCGTGAAAATATCAGCTGTGCTGTGAAACCAAATTAACGTGCACTGGAGCATACTTGTCACTGCATTCCTAATTTCCGCTGACTATTTTGCTATTGACAACAAACGTGCAGTTTACTGTACAGCTTCATAAAGCTACACAATTCAGGCTACTAAAGCAGGAGACACATGCACGGTCAAACAACCATTGCGTCAATCGCACAATGTGCCGGGCGTTTCCCAGTGTGCAAGTATATGTTTTGTGCTCGTAGTAACATGGCGCAAAGACTCAGCTATTTTTGGGAAAATCAATGTGAACTTGGAAGTTTGTGCCAGACCTACGAAGGCATCTGGCGCACCGCAGCGGAGGTCTGGTGTATAATTTGGACCACCTGGGTATCTTGTGACGTGTATCGAGATCTCTGGTTACACGGTGCCTTTTCTGCAATAAGCCCACGTCAAATTGCGAGCACCTCCGTCGAGATTCCAACCTTCCATTTAGAGATGCTCAGGTTGAGCTATATTCCAAAACAATTTTTCGCATTAAAAAAAAAAGGAATGCGGTACACAGCTTTGATAAGCGCTGAAAACCCACCCGCAAGCGCACAGGCACGCTCGGTCGGCTTCATTGCCAAAAAAAGTCATCTCTGTGTTACAAGCTTACGATGCATCAGTTATAACTTGCTTCACGTAGTGTCTACGGAATATGGACGGTCCCTTCCTGTCGAAAGCTTTGCTGTTGCCAGACTTTTGGTGACAGATTATAGTGGTGTGTAGGAGGAACGATAATTTGGCATGTCATCTCGCACAGCAGAGCTTCGTGGGCTGTGCGATGATTTTTGTAACTAAGCTCTATTGCATCAACGTTATCTTGTCCTCAAGATAACTTTGATGCTACATCAGTGAAAAGTGCGGAGCAGACGACACTTGAGCTTTGCTCTACGTTCGCCCGCCATTGCGTAGAGGACCACGTGACCTTTCGGACCACGCTTTTCGATGTGACTTGGACATGACTGACGACGCAAGGCCAATGTTGTTTGTCGCAACCAAAGTATCGGTTTTGGTATCTGCTGATGTTTAAACTAAGATTGCACAAATAATATTCCACATTTTGTGAATCCAAAGATATAAGGTTGTTTAGTAGTGCTTCGGGAATTGTAATGACATGTAAGCGTAAAATTTGGGGAATTGAACGGAGGTGCCCTTTAATTCTCTCCCTCCGTGAAAAGTATGGTGAACTCAGAGTTTCTAATATAAATTTTCAGTTATTCACCTTGGTGAATCAGGTAGTCTGTAAATAGTTGTCAATGCATGCAGGTCGGTGCGCAGTATGAGCTATGATTCTCTGCCTAATTTTACCGCTTCTTTTCCCGCTTAGACGCCACCTTTTGTAAGCATTGGGAACAATGTTGGTGGGTAGGCTAAGTGTGCTTGGTTTTCGTTTTAATAGGGTTACTGAATATCCCAGTTCCTTTGTTGGCAACCTCAAGGAACCATTGCATCTGTGAACATAACAATTAAGTGTTTTTGCAATACCGATTTATGCGAGAAGACGAGGAGTCTAAAATTCACCCTATTCTCCGCACAGCCAATTTATGCTTCTTGGCATACTTTCTGAAATTATCTCTTATGAAACTATTCAAACTTTATGGCAGACACTTTCTTTCGTGTTTAAGACACTCATGGCAGTTGACCAGTCATGGGTAAGTTACTTTTAAAAAGTAATTCGTTACAGTTAGTTTCAGAAAAAAGTAGCGAAGTTACCATTACAGTTACCACAACAAAAGAATAACTCGTTACAGTTACTTTAAAAAAGTAACGACATTACTTTTCAGTTACTTTTCTATAACACAAAAATTAAGGAAAAACTAGTGCTTGAAAGAAAAAAATAGACATGAATCAGTTGGGCTTCCACCATAGCGGTAAATTCAAACTTAATAATTTAGCTGGAAAATTAGTCAATA